AATGTTAGAAATGATTTTAAATTAAGGAATGTATCTCTCTCATGCAAAGCTCCGAATCCTTGCCGGGCTTTGGCTATAATTTGCCCGGTTTTGACTATACTTTGCCCGGTTTTGGCTATACTTTGCCCGGTTTTGGCTATACTTTGCCCGACTTTGTCTATACCTTTTACCTTTTTGGATTATAGCTCTTCGTCTTTTTAATAAGATTTGGATTTTCAAATGTTTTGGCCTCGAGCATCACTGAAGAGACATTTATTGTCGCAATGCGCATCTGGTGCAGAACACTTGGTACCGTTAATGTTATTATTGCCGTTGGTTAATATCTGTCATATTTGTTTTTCGTAAATTATTTTGTTTTAAATTAGGCCGATTGTTTTCTCAATTAAATTGTTTCATATTTTTTATGTCAGGGTCTTTTGTAGCCGACTATAATGTATAGGTTTTTTTCTCAGTGTTGAAGGCCGTACGGTTGCCTATGATTGCTTACATCCACTTCATTTGAACTTTGGTGGATATATAGTTGTTTCATTGGCAATCATACTGCATGCATTGCATTTTTTTTATATATGTGTATACTCTCACTATCCATGTAGCAATTTCAATCTCATCTTAACTGTTACATCAAAAAACGATCAATGTATATTCGGGAGAAATAAGTGTAAGGTCGTAAATGAAATGATGATACGCCTCTCAGTGTTTACCGCAAAGCACAGACATAATAAGAACAAATTACTAATGTTCACCACATTGAACTTGAAGTTCTAAATGGAGGGATTTTTGCCTGGAATCAAGAACAATAATTAATCTGTTGTTAAAATATAGTACCAGTGAGTTTTTCATTCTCTTCAGCTGCTTGCTTATCTATAAACCCAATGAAATTTAACGCTACTCCTCTAAAATATAACTCATTGAATTCAAAACAGCATGCTGACTTATCAGGGTCATATTACGGAATAATAGCAAAATACACATTAACAGTGTTTTTTTTCCTTCAAATTCACTCTTTTAGCATGAATAATTTTGTTTTGTGATTTTTTTTTTGCTCACTCTCTCTTGATTAATATAAATTGCAAGATGCTGTAGCCTGTATACACAATATAGCCATTTTAAATCTTAATGAACTGGCTAAATGTGAAAAAGAAATGTTAATACTCTATCCATAGAAGGAAAGATTGCAAATGAACATATCTCTTCAAAAACGCAAAGTTGATTTTCAATGTGCCCTGACAACCGTTAAATATATGCAACAGAAGCTTACCGATGTTCAAATCTCATAAATAAAGGCAACAGTAGTATACCGCTGTTCGAAATTCATAAATCGATTGAGAAAAAAACAAAAGCGGGTTACAAACTAAAACTGAGGGAAACACATCAAATATAAGAGAAGAACTACGACACAACAGAAACACAACATTAAAATGTAACACACACAGAAACGAACTATAATATAACAATGGCCATTTTCCTGACTTGGTACAGGACATTTTAAGAAAAGATTAATAAATCGATAATGAAGAGACAAATCAAGGTAATAAACAGAAACTGAAGGAATCGCATGAACTTAAAATTGAGCAAGTCCGGGTTAACTTTCATTGTAGAATAATTCAGTTAATCTTAGGAGTAGTATTTATTGTTATCTTTAACTTATAACATTCATTTTAGAAAATGGGATTAGCTTTGTTTACAGTGGTATGCTAAAATTATGCATGCACGCTGCAGAATACTTTACACATCAAAATACTATTTTCAGTATTATGAAATGTACATGTCAAAATTTAGCAATCTTGGCTTTATTAACATGATTTTTTAAATTGGTTATTTATATATTTGACTTGTTTTATATTTGTGATCTTGAAAGTAAAAGGAAACATACATCTGTTGATTTAGGATAGCACAAGTCTGGACAAGTGGTGACGATATTTTCGTTAAATACAGGTATATTCTGAACATAAATAGTTATTTTTCTTCGTTAAAAGTAAGTTATTCACAAAATCACATTAATAATTGTATATCGAGGTGATGGGAGTACATTGCTGTTGAGGAAACGGGTATTCGTAGAAATTCTATAAATCATTTCGATGAGAAAACGTTAAATTACATTTTGTTTATAAATGTCATGGATTTTGATAGGTTTAGTTTTTTCTGATGGTTTTTGTTATTGCATGAAACCTACAATACGAAAGGACCAAAATGGATAGTCAGTATAGAGTTTAATTATGTCTGAACATTGCCCAGGCTTGTTGTAGTGTAATTATAATTTAGTTGGTCAAGGAAGGAGGTTAAATGTAACCTCCTTGGATATAACCTCTTTAATCTGATTAACCCCAAAAACAAACACTTCATATATTGTATTTTTAATGTAGCTTATATTTTGCAATTGCTCAATACCATTCCTGTCTCTCGCAGTTTATATCTTCTTTACACTAAATGCATTGGATATGCACTGATTGAAATTTTTGTCTTGGAAAACATAGTTTATTCATTAGTTGGAATGGCTTTGAACTAGCTTTCAGGAACTTTTAGTACTCTTAGATCGATATGTTGTGGGTTTTTTTTTCTTTTTGTAAGGTTTTTGAATTTGTTCCCGATCTGATGAGTCACGTTTGGGCTGATTTTTATAATTTTTTTTCTTGTTTTGGTTTTATACCACTTATATAGGTAAGGCGAGGTAGAGTGTTCTCAAATGTGTTTACCCCGCCATATGCTTTATGTGCCTGTCCTAGTCAGAGGCCTGTACTTCATTAGTTGTCGATGGTTGCTGACTAGTGGTTGTCGTTGGTTGATAAATATATTTTTCGTTTTTTTTTCATAAATCAGGCCTTTGGCTTTCTCTCTTGTTTTGTTTCACTTGTTTACATGGTGGGGCCTTTTGTAGCTTACTATATGGTATGGGTTTCCCTATTTATTGAAGGCCGTACAATGCCCTTTAAGCTTTTTCATCCTCGTTTCCTGGTTTCTTGAAGATAGTTGTCTCTTTCACAATCATATTACATATTTTTATGTTTACAAACAAACAAGACAAGCAAAAAAACCCTCAAACAAAACCAAACAAAACAGCAAAAATAACTTTCATAATATGTCAGATACAGTTAAGTTATACAACATACTTTATAAAAAAATGGATTTTCCCAAGCATACGTGAAAAATATGATAACATCATTTCATATGGGAGTTTTTACCATACAATACATAAACGGCAATAACTAAGACAACATTGTACACAATACCTGGTGTCCACTTTTAGCCAATATGGTGTCAGATTGAACCTTCCTTTCTGCACTCCACGCGTTGGCAACACATTTATATGCATCGTGGTGGTGATATATCAGTATTATCCTTATAAACATAATGAGATGTGATATCATTTCCAATGAGACAACCATCCACTAGAGTTCAAATGACGAAGTTAAAGCAACTAAAAAAACAAAAACTATACAATATGAGGTCATACACCACAAACACGGGGATTATCATGTCTGGCTTACTCTCTCATCCTAAGCCTTGACACTTGTTTGTTACACAAATGTAATATAACTTTGTTATCATAAATCTTGCATTGCATGGATAGCATAAGATGTTAACCCTGTGAATGCACTTATTTTACTCCGTTTGGTGTTTAATTCTGGCTCTTTGTACTCCTGTTTAGTCTTTTTATACCTGGACCTTGAACTCATATCGGTAAACTATGTAGTTCATTCGAATGCTTTGTCCTGTCTGTATTGTTTTTGTTCTAGCTAAGAATTTAGAATTTCGGAAAAAGTTATTTGCTTAGATTAGATGTCTTATTCTGTAATTGTTGATATTGTTTTTGTCAATACACATATGTAACGTCAAAAAATTCCGCTAAATATAATGCAAGGGACCTCATTGGGCATGCATTGATGTTTCAACTGGCTTTTGCTACGTGTTGGAGGCATTGCTGTGGCTCTGAGATAATTATGGCAATAACAAACTTTGTTTCTTTCCAATTTCTCTTTTTTAAAGTGAATATGGGAATTGTGTGCCAGGAATGAATACATATTCATAAATGATAAAACAGAATTTGATAGTTTTGTTGAAATAAACTCATCATAGATACCAGGATTGAAATTTTGTATTTGCGCCAGACGCGCGTTTCGTCTACAAAAGACTCATCAGTGACGCTTGAATAAAAAAAAGTTAAAAAAGACAAAAAAAGTACGAAGTTGAAGAGCATTGAGGACCAAATATTTCTAAACGTTTTGCCAAATACAGCTAAGGTAATCTATTCCTGAGGTAGAAAAGCCTCAGTATTTCAAAAATTAAAAGTTTTATAAACAGTTAATTTATAATTATGACCATATCAATGATAATTCATGTCAACACAAAAGTGCTGACAGTTACTTGGCTGGTGATACCCTCGGGGAATAAAAACTCCACCAGCAGTGGCATCGACCCAGTGGTTGTAAATAAACTCATCATAGATACCAGGATTGAAAAGATTTCAGCAAAATAGTTGTGTCGCATGACGTCGCTGATGCTAGACTGTTTCCCCGTCACTCCACTGGTGCCAATTCAGCAAGACTTGAAAATGCACGTTGGATTAAAAAAACGCTTCATCTTGAAATAAAATTACTTGCACATGTTAAACGTTTGTTTTCAGAGGGAGAAAAGACGGAAAATATGGACATAAGTGATTATAATAGACAAGACTCTAAAGAAGACGTCTAAAATTTTTATTTCACCAATAAAACATACAACAATTGTTATTGTGTGATAAAAACAATAAATTAAATATTCATATAACAGAGCACAAACAACACTGTGCAACTTGTACTGTAATTTAAATTCTATGTGATTCCAACTTTAAAAGAATTATAAAATATCAAATATTTCAACACATGCTTGAACATTCATTCGATGTTACTTTTCAGGTACTATTCATATATGAGAATAAATTATATCACAAATAGTATAAATGACTTTTTTCCGAATTATTGAATTTCCAACTCCCATAAAAGTATTTCAATTGTTCTGCAAGATTAAATGTTTACATCAATACGATCTTCCCGAATATCAGCTGTTACACTGTGATGAAAATCATTTCGTGGTCCTCGAGCCGGCTGTTCATCAATAATATCATCTTTTGTGAGAGAAAGTGGTTCAGGGGTCTTTCGGATGTTATCAGTGTCTTCCGATTCCGATACATTGTCATTAATGTGCTCAACGTCAATATAAGATTGACTATTTTCACCATCCTCGTCATCGCCTCGGAGACGTTCATGAATGCGCTTGTGTCTTTCCAGATTACTTTTGTGACTTGTGGCATAGTCACAGTGTGGGCAAGAGTAGTCTTTTTGACCACTGTGAACAGATAAATGCCTTTTCAACAACGCCTTTCGGCAAAAACGTCGTCCGCAAAACGCGCATGAATATCCGTTGTGATGGAAAATCATTATATGTTCTCTTAATGAAGCTTTTGTCGTAAAGTTGACGCCACAACATTCTAAAACTTTTTCACAAGCCTGATGCATAGTTGATATATGTCTCTTCAAATTGTTTCTTCGGTCTGTGACGTATCGGCAATGTGGACACGGAAACAACTTTCCCCGAAATGTATTGCATACCAACATGGCCAACTCTAAATAATTTCTATTAATAAACGGTGATTTCACTTTAGACAAATCCGTTGGAAAGCCAGGGGGAGTTGTAAAATTGTGATATTGTGCAAGTGTCAGTTGCTTTAGTTCGTTAGATGCTGTATTTTGAAATGGATACAATGCAGTGGGATACTGAAGAACTGTTGATGGTAGGGATGCTGTACTAGAGGACGATCCGGTAGGTAGAGGTATATTTGGGAATGGTGACATATATGGCGCTGCCATTGCTCTGAGGGAAACGCTGGTTAAACTAGATCGTATGTCAGGATTCCCGAGGGTATGCATACTTTCTCGTGGTTTAGGGATCGGATTTCGAATAGCAGGTATAGATGTCTGAATGCAATTGTTCTGTAAAGATCGGTTATATTCAGCTGGTAGTCTTGAGTTTTCATCGCAGACGGCAGTCCCACTGTAATATAAAGTCCACATTTAATATAAAGATAACAATTTTTTGAATCAATTCAATAACTATAATAACTAAAACTTGCTTTACAACAATAAAGCTAGAAGGAATGCTATTAAAACAAAACATATGATTAAAATATGAAGTTTAAACAGACAAATAAAAGTTGAAATAATGTATGTTTTTTGTTATTTTTTCTAATATTGTATAGTTTCGTTCAACGCGTTGCTTTATCACAAATTGTTCTTTAATTTAAGTAGGGGCTGTTCGAGATCACGATTGAAAACTAAGGAGCATGGTGCTTGAGAATTGATTAACTAACGTCGAAGATAAGACACAACCGGCCTACTGACCAACGTCCATTTGCTTAAAACAGTTTCACAAATATTGAATTTTAGCACGATAGTATTGAACAAAGATCTTAATTCGCCGTGCAAATGTAATGCTGTATACTGGGGAAAATACTTTAACTCACAAGCACTTGTTTTTATCCATGGGAAGGTCGACTATCCATATATAATAGAAGTTGACCTTCCCATGGAAAGAAACAAGTGCCTGTGCTTTAACTATAGAGCTTGCTTTTATCTTGAAACGGTATTCTTTTTCCCGTTAAAAAGTAACTTGTTAGCTTACATAATGTACATAAAAATATTGACAATTCTGGGCTCTGGGGATTTTTAGTTTGCTTATCATTTAGTGCTCACAGTATGGGGTTTCTGGATAATTAGGCGAATGGACATATATAGTCTAGTTTTGCATTTTTATTTTAATTAGTATATTCATGACCTTAACTGCTATTGGAACACTTAATAAAATAAATCGAACTAAAGGTTTGCTCATGTTTTCATGTTCATTGATAACGTTGAAAAAGACCTGGAATGAAAAATATAGTAAATGGTGTTTTAATTCACAAAATTCCAACTATACACAATGGCATGATGCAATCGAGCATACGATTGGTCGTAATCGATATTGTATATTCCAAGAATTCCCATGGCTGCAAAACTAAAAAAAAATAAACGGATTTAATTCTAGAATATTGTCAATGTAACATATAATATTTAAGATTAAATGTCACTGTACTTTGTAACAATAATATGCATACGTGTATGAAAATAATTAATATTAAAGACTTTTCCGTCTTTTATCTTTTATTTACTTTTACATATATAACATTTAAGCCAATGTACTTCGTCAACAACTATTTAGTAATAATAATGTTTTTGTAAACATTTTCAGACATCAGATGTTAAATTGTCTGCGGTAATAAAAAGCAATGAAAGGTTGATTAGCCTTACTACAATAACTGGAAAATACAAAATCAAAACCAATTGGTATCAATCGAAATATGAATTGACAATTTAACAATTTTACTGTAAAAATAACTGTTCAGTATCTGATAATCATTGATAAAGAGCTCTCAATGGTGCAATCAATCAACGCTGAATGTAACCAATATAAAATCAATGAACAAGTACGATGTTAGCTCAACACCAATAGAAACATGGAAATATAAAGTTCAAGATTAAGAAACTACATTGGTATGTTCCAACTTTGATTCAATTTTTAAAATGATGAAAATATTATTATTATTATCAATATTTTCTATCATGATGACAATAATAATAATAATAATAATAATAATAATAATAATAATAATAATAATAATAAAAATAATAATGATAATAATAATAATAATCATTATTATTATTATTATTATTATTATTATTATTATTATTATTATTATTATTATTATTGTATCACATGATATCAAGATAACATTAGAATCATTTGGTTATTATTATTATTATTATTATTATTATAGTTGTTACTGCAGTCGTCAAATACATACTAGTCAACAGAAGTACTGATACCCCAGTTCAAACTCAAATTTGCAATAAAATATAATACATACGAAAACTGTTAATTATCCAATGAAAACATTCGTTTGCAAAGCGAGTGCACATGATTCAGAGAATCTTAATAAGTCGGGAAATCAAATGGAAAGAATACCGTGATACTCTTCAAAGGGGTCTTCAAGTTTTAAGTTAAAATGGCGTTTTTTTTTAATTTTTGGTGAAAAATTTGATTTTTCAAATCAATCACTTGTTACGGTGTGACTAATTGAATTGTATTTGCAAAATACTTTCCTTTTTGTCGATTCTTTTGTTAACTAGTATATACCACAGTGTGGGCGCAAAGTCCAAACGGCAAATAATAAATGTATTACACATGGGAAATGATTATTTAATGAGAAACTTAGTTTTTTACCGAGCTTTGAAATAAAAACCTTTTGTACGTAAACGTAAAGAGATTAACTTTATAGAATCAGCTTCTATCAAAAAGAGCCTTTGTCTTCTGAAGATAGTAGTACTAAAGGGGAAATAAAAAAAAAATCGTTTGTCCAAGGGAGATAGGCAACATCATCACCAAAACAAGTAAGTTGAAAAAGACCAGGACAATTTCAAATATTTGGGAGAACAAAACATACAGCTGTCTTAAAAGTAATCCGCTATCGCTCTGACGTCTGACGGTCTTTTTTTTAGGATTTGTTTGGGCTACAGAGCAATCTCGGCTGGTTTGGTTTGTTCGTAGGTAAACGCTGACCTGTGGTTGTATCCATTTTTGTCTTTTGGTCTTTGTGGATTATGGTTTCATTGGCAATCTCTTTTTAAAATATCAAGATAATACACACATACATGTAAGTTGTAATTACGTATCATTTTAGATCACTTACACTATTGGGAAAAAGTCTAATCTTCAATATTACACTCAAATCAATAAGATCAAATTATTAAAACACGCATGAAGCAACAGCACCGTGACTTTTTTAAATTGCAGAAGTCCTTTGAATTATATTTGCATTATATCCTTAACTTATAAATGTCAAGAAATAAGAAACGTGTAAGTAAAAATCTTATAAACAAAACATACAATAAACAAAAGTGATTCGCAAAATATTTTTAAACAGAAAACATTAGTTTCCAAATTCCATGACTTCAAAATGATGTCATCTCATACTGCCACAATAATTGTAATAATACGACGCAAGGCTCAAATAAAAATATTATTCCATTCAACAGGAAAAGAATTTCTAAAAAACAAGTTCATGTCAGAAGAAAATAGCTTCACTTAAAAAATAAGATCGAGTCGGCAACAAATTAAATTAAATGTAATTATATTTCTATTTAAATCTATTTCAAACCATTATTGTTAATAATCGATATTACATTGATGAAGAAAAAATACAAGACTTGAAACTTTATGTAATCCTTCAAAGTAGCAGAATCTATCAAGATAAATTATACATAATGAGTTTGATAATAATTGAACGGAAAATAGAAATATTAGGAGGGCGCTTTTCCTAGCTTGAAGTCCGGATACGAATAGTAATGTAATTATTTCACTTTGGCAAGTAGAAGGAAGATCGTTGATAGCAATCGCGTGTGTTGAAATTAAATGATTATAATATCTTTTTATTTACTGACATTAGTTTGCCATTCCGACCGGATTAGCTCAGGTAACATAATAACAAAAAGGTCCGTATTTGGTTCGGATAATATCTTTAATTGTTGTCTCCTGCTATCGGAAATGAGGTAGTTCATGCCAATGCAAAAAGTTTTTCAAATGATGTTTTAATGTTAAGTGGTTAAATTCAGTACGATCTTGCTGTTTGGGGCTATTGAAAATACAACTTTTGAAATTGATAAATAATTAATGGATCAAAATACTGTTTATGCGATTAATTTTCTTTATAAGTTAGGAGATAATAACATTTAAACTGTTTCTGTTGAAAGGTGCACTCTCACTGCGATAATTGTTGACAATAGAATTCAATTTAGTTGTTAACGTTTTTAAAACGAGCACCATCATCTTCTCAAGAGAGCTTATGCGATATTATAAACAAAGCACAAGGTATCGGCATCCGTTAAGCGTAAACTTTGGATAACTAGAACAATACGAAACAGTGGTTCTACTGATTATTTTAATTACGAATACTTGTGTGCTATATCGTAGCAAAGCTAGATAAATTTATAGGTTATTTAATAGCCTTTTCAATATCGCTCCTGGTATCATTCCGAGACCCATATCGGATTGAGGACTGTTGTCACCTTGCAATTGCCTTGCGAGCTGAAATCAGCCCACGGGTCTAATAGGTGTTGTTCCATTTATGTCAAATTAGCAATGGAAAATAATTAAAAAAAATACGGTATCAAAATGTCTGATACTCAAAATGATTGACATCATATTAAAATACCCTGTTAAATAAAGTAAGCCTTTAAAAGAATTTGTCTTTCTTTATTGATTTTTTTTTTCAAACGGCATTAATGTTTCAATTCAACAACTCCTGCTTTATTTTTATCACTATTAAAATAATTTAAATTTTACAACTTTCCATTTAAAAATGTTGTTGTTGGTTCATATAAAAAGATAAAATGAAATTAAAATAAATTAATAATGTTTTAAAGATATAAAATAAAAATAATATATTATATACTTTTATAAAATACAGACCTAATAACGAATACATCCATTCTTTGATAGTTTTGTAAATTTATTAAAAGTGGAAAAGAATGATGTTCAGAGAAAAGTAAAATATGAATGCTACCTTTTATTTACAGAATCCCTGCTGAGGTGTTCAATAATACGGACTATGATACACATTGTCACAGATGGTTTACTAAATTGAATTTTCACTTCAATGTAAAATGTTTCATCGAGAATTTATCAAACACAATTTCTCAGTACGTTTGTGAGTTATAAAAATGACATAAAGTTTAATGTAATTACAACAATTTTTCTCTTAACGTCATCTTGCTGT